GCCCCCAGCTGCCAGGGCCCCCAGCTGTCAGGTCCACAGCCCCCTGCAGCAGTGCCCAAGCCACACCCTGCAGCAGGTGGCTGTAGTGGAGCAGAGCAGAGCCTTGCTTCCCCTCCCCCATGGGTGGCATGAGCAGAGCCTGTGGGGGAGTGGGGGGAGAGGGGGAAAGTGTACTTCCCCTTCCCCCTCACCCCATGGGCTCCGCTCAGGGATGCCCCCCATGGACTTGGGCTCCCTGCCCTGCTCCCAGGGCCCAGCAGATGAGATCCAGTGCAGCAGGGCAGAACAGGGCAGATGTTTGGTGCCACCACTGCAAACCGAACACCGCCATGGTGAGGCACCTCCTGCCTGCCTGGCAGCAGCAGAACTAGCATTGACATGTGCCTCCCACTGCTGCCAGGTGGGCAGAGGGCACCTCGTTTGCTATGGCAGTGCTTGGCTTGTGGCAGCAACACCAAGCTTCCCCTCCCAGCCCTGCTCTGTCCTGCTGTGTCAGGTCCAGGGCCCTCAATCTTTCCTCGTAGGACCTTACCTGCATGCCCTTAACCATGTGAATGGCCCTCCTCTGGACCCTCAAGGTTATCCACATCCCTCTTGAAGTGCGGCACTCAAAACTGGATGCAGTATTCCAGCTGCAGCCATACCAATGCCGCATAGAGGGGAAGTATCGCCTCCTTAGATCTGTTTGTGATGCACCTGTTAATGCATGATAGAGTGTGGTTAGCTCTATTGATCACTTTGTCACATTGTTGACTCATTCATTTTTGAGTCAACTATGACTTTTGAGATCCCTTTCCTCTGCTGTGCTGCTTAGAAGGTCATCTCCCAATCTGTAAGTGTGTTGGCGATCCCTTCTTCCTAGGTGCTATACTTTGTACTTATCTTTGTTAAACTGCATCCTATTTTGTTCTGTCCACTTCTCCAGCCTGTCCAAATCCACCTGAATCCGTTCCCTGCCCTCCAGTGTGTTTACTTTGCCCCATAATTTAGTGTCATCTGTGAATTTGGACAGTGTGCTTGCTCTCCATGCCCTTGTCCAAGTCACTGATGAAGATATTAAACAGCACTGGTATAAGGACCGAGCCTTGGATAAAAATGGTCTCCTCCATAAAACCAATATTTCATCAGGTACTTCATGGTTTTGAAAGGAGATCAATAGATATTTCACATTTGATGATCACTATGAAAATACTTCACATTTAATCAACATTAGCATTATGAAAAATGCAGCAAGTAATTCCTAAATATAGGAAACAAAGGGTTTTGTTTGCTTTTAACTCCTTCAAGCAGCAGTTGACAGTATTGTGACATTTAGAGACTGGCATCATCTTGGTACCCATCCAGAACCACCTCTCAAGCACTGACCAAGAACAGAGGGTATAGGTTCTTTTCCTGTTTGTTCTGTATGGGAAATATTTATAAATGAAACCAGTTAAATTTGAAATTAAACTATACTGCTTCAAAACCCCAACAGCAGAGAACTTCAAGGCACTTTAAGTTTCTTTGTATGCTAAAAGTGAGCTTCTCAAATAAATGATGTACTAACAGGGAAAGCTTATAAAAGAGGGAGCAAACTTCAAAAGAAATCCAAGGTTTAATTAAAAAATAAATAAAATTAAGAACCTATCTTTGAGCACAAGTTTGAGAAACAGGATGCAGGGAACTGGAAAAAAAAAAAATCAAATCACAAAAACAGATAACATCCCCAAACACAGAGAGCTCTCTCTACCTCCACTTTTACTTTTATGTAACCTCTTAAAATATGCTGTAATGAACATCAAAATTCTTTTCATACTCCATTGTGCATAGTAATTTTTTAGTTTCAGGACTAAAATAATTACACAAACAGGATCTTTTAACCTACTTGGAGCTTCCACAGATGAAGCTTCTTTTCTTACTAGGAAAAGATAGATAAACATCAGGCTTTATCTTGAATTTGAGTGTATTTTAAGTGCCAAACCCCAGCCCCCATGTTTGTCCTGTGCTTCAAGTAAGTGTGCACAACTACCAATAGATAGTTATGCATATCATGCTTTTCTCTGATCAGTAGCACAGCATCTGAAACGTACTACAAAGAGAGCTCCCTTCTTAAAGCCAAAGAGAATTAAGAGAACTGCACTCATTTCATTTTGCTAAGAAGGCACCACAACTCTTAATGGGATATATTTTGTATTCTATTGCAGCAATCTGACAATGCTGTTTACGAGAACCACTTGAGCAGCTGCAAATGGTTTAGCTTTAGCAGATCTACTATACAGTGAGCATTTGCTTCATTTTTGCCAGTCAGCATTAATGAAATTCTGTGGCAAAGGGCATACATTCCCTTTCTTATAATCAATCCTAATGAGCTGGATTTTCTAAACATTTAAGAGAAAGTGGGAAGCAAAGGTTCATTTTACAATTTTCTCTTTAATGTTTCCCGGTGACAGGAAGCGCAAATTTTTTTTCTATCTTGTGCTTCTGAAGCAGACAGCTGTAATTTCAAAAATATACAGTGTATACACCCTCTGTAGGTATAGATACAAACATTTACAAAGATAAATAGCATATGGATGATTTTCTTTTTGGCCCTCTCAAAAAGAAACAAGAGGTGCTGGTCTCACCAGTCAGACGTGTGCTACTCAAGTACCAGACCAAGCAATACAGTGGTATTGTTCATTAAAAAGGAAGTTAAATCAGCATTTAAAAATCCCATATATTCTAGGGGACTCATTTTTTTTCTTTCATCCAACTAACATGGGTTAATAAAGAAACTGCCTTTGTTTAAGGTAAGTGCTGCCTACCACTCTGCCTTGCTTTTATTCCTGTAGAAAAACATCTTCTAGATATCAAACTGCACTAAATTAAAAAGAAGAAAAATATAGTTCCTAAAACATTTGGCTTCCTCTGTAAGGCTTCCCCAGTCATGGAAAAATGGGTCCATGTTATAGTTTAAGTGAGATTCTTTAGCGGATGGGCCGGTATGGAAATGTCATTCCAGGTATGAACGTCTGTACAGGATGGGCAGGAAGCGCTGGGTGAGTAGGCAATGCAGGGTGTGCTGCATGAGCAGGATAGCCCAATGGAGGAGTGTGGATGTGAGGATAGAATCCTGGTGGCAGAGCCCCATGAGTTGGCTGTTGTACTGGACCCGAGATTACCAGCTGGAGCAGGCTGCAAAAAGAAGATTCAGAGAGATGCAGCTATTACTTCAACCTTGAATTAGTCAAAACAGAAATGGTCTGTCAAGTGATCCCATACATGACAAGGAGAGCCATTGCAAAGCTTTGTTGAGACACAGCAACGTTTAAAGGAGAGCGGGCAGCACCTATGCTATTAGAGCTTCAGGCAGATTGATGTCTTTGGAGCCAAGTAAAGACAGTGCTATTTTTCAGAGAAGCACTGTTCACAATAACTAATAGTTACGTACTTTCAAAATGTTGTTCAATAGCTAGATCATCAAGAAGCAAAGAGTGCCAGTTACCATCTATTCAAAGCACAGGTGCTCTGTGAAGCTCTACAGGACTTCTCACTGGCTTCCAAATCCCTATATTAAAAAAAAAGGGCTTTTCCCCTCCCAATTATCAGAGAGCATCCTGGTTCTAATTAGAAGTGATACTTGGAAAACTTGTCTACAAGTCTTTATGCATCTAGCTCCTGATTCATTATACTGATTTTTCACAAGAGGTTGAGACTAATAGACTACAGATGGGAGGTGGGTGAGCTGCATGTCAGGTTGTATATTTGTGCAAACATATGTATGCTAGTCTAAGACTAGGTTGTATATTTGAAGGCATAAAGTCAGGTAAAACATGCACAAAAACAATGTTTATTTATTACCATTTATCACTTGTACATAAACTCCAGCAATTTAGATTAACAAATGTTGTGGGATGCATGTGTAGGGTTTTTTTCTGTATTTATACAGGTTATTATTTTACATCTCGGAGCCTAGAAAGTGAGAGAGTGATGGGTTTCAGCCTCAGGATTTTCCTGCACCAAGATGATGCAGATTTTTGAAGGAGCAGGAAAGCGCTCGGGGGGGGGGGTCCTGTTTTTTTTCTTAAACTGAATTGATACACAAGAAAAAAAACAGGTCACAGAAATACCTTTATTGGCTTCTACAATTTATTGCTAAGATGTGGCCTGACTGCATCTCACTTCCATAAGTAAATTGTGTGTCCTTGAGCATTGCAGATCATTTTAATTCCTAAGCAGCAACACTACTTTAAAACTTGGAAACTTAAGTCAAGTGCAAGTACTCATGATGAGGCATCAGCATCACAGGGGTCAAATACTGCACATCTTACAGGTTTTTGCAGAGGTATTTTTATCTGAACATTTTTCAAATTTTCACCTTTAAATTTCCCCCCACCCCTTATTTCCCCAATTGCTGCAACATCTTCCTAATCAAGCAACCTGGCAATCATACTGATCATCAGATAAAGTTACAAAATTTCTCAAGAACATGGGCTTGTGCCACTCCTTCCCTTCTTCCCAACAAACAAAGCAGGCTGAGAGTGCACAGTTCCCAAGGATTTCACCCTAGTACAGACATACCTGACCTAGCTTCAACCTAGGTAACCTATGTACTAGCGGCAGGCTAGCAGTTGGCAGCCTAAACCTTAATGCAGGCTTCAAAAACTATCCAACAAACAGGATAGATTCACCTATATTGAATTCATACTGCTGTACCTGGACTACTACTCGTAGCCATTTACCTAGTCTTAGACTAGCATACATATATTTGCACTATACCTCTGTAGGTGTGTGTGTGTGTGGGGGGGGGGGGGGGGGCGCTGGGGGGTTTCAGTTTGCAAATGCTGAAACAAAATGTTGTTCAGTCCTACTGAGAGGGGAAACAGCTTTCACTTCAGCAGAAAACAGTGTCTTCATCTTAAAGATATCTGATTTAATCCAATTTAAATTTAGTCCTCATTTCCACTGACTACACCAGGGGGTGGGGGGGGACAAAGAGGGGAGGGGAGAGGAGAGGACAGATAAAGGGGGTGAGGATTTTCCCCCTGCTAGCATAAGAGGCTGCCAAGGATTTATTTATGTTTATGAAAATAAAACAGGATTAAAATAGGAAAAAAAAATCAGCCAGGGCTCATTTTTAAATATAAACACATATTTAGGTGAACATTTTCATACCCAGATGCTCAAAAAATCATCTTAGACACCTGAATAGACATGGCTTAATTTTCAGCTACAAAAGTCTACCTGCAGACACTCAGGTTTGAACTTTCTAACTATTATCAGGGACACCCCACACCTCCCAGAAATTACACGGGGATTACCATGAGAAGAATGAATAGTGCCATTACACTTTTGGTTAGAGCACAGTACATAGGAATCAGTGATGGGGCAGAATTTTTTGGATGCTTTCATATCTGCACCCCCCGCCCCCCCATCTAATTTATCTAACTGTTTTAAAGCAGGCTATGATCCTCCAAGCTTACCTCTGCAGGTGGAGCCCTACTGATTCAGGGGTCTGCTTGTGCTGATCAGCCTGCATAAGTGGGGATTTTCTGAGTCTAAGGTCAAAAGAAGCCTTAGGACCATCTAATTTGAACTCCTTTAGAGAATGTGCCTTTACTTTTTACTATGCTACTCAGTTAGCAAGCCAAATAACTTGTTTTCTGGAAGACATACTTTAGTCAAGCACATGCATACTGTAAACTTTTCATGACAAATGTCTTGATGTATATCTTGACAAACCTAGAAATGCTTTAAAATGTACATTAGACTAAATAGAGCTTTAGGAAAAGGGCCTTACTTGTTGTGTGGTAGCCTGGAGCACACAGTTCTCAAATCATCTGAAACAGAAGAGAAGACAACAGAATAGATTTGAAATAAATTATTATTTGTGCCCCCCCCCCGGCCAATTCTCCCTTCCAGAGGCAAGGATCTTTTGTGATATGTTTTAATGGTCCAAATGTATAGTTAGGATAGCTGTTGGACACTCGGGTCACCTGAAGGGCACTTGATGCCCCAAAGCTTGTCCAACAGCTTTTCAAACTACACAACTGGTAAAGGAAATTACATCACAAAATATCCTTGCCTCTCATATACTTCCTGGAGCATCACAGCTACAACACTCCAACCCTACCATCTCCTTTCTAGGAAGGTCTGTCATAAAATACTAAATCAAAAGATGTAAATGAAAACTTATTAGGAACATTTCATCATACCACTTTACACATCATTCTTGCACAGCTGACAGTCCTTTAACCTGCCTTAGGTTTAAGTTAAACAGCCAGCCCAGAAATGCAGATGCATGGCAGGAAAACTCTGACCCAGGATTCTCACCACATGAAACAGAACTCTGCTTGCCTGGAACCCTCTGGTAATTCAACTAAAGCCTAGGGTCATTAAATAATGGTCAAAGAGACCTCCAAAGCCTAGCAACTAGTAGAGCTACCTTTCTGGAGTCAATGATACACTAGGGAGGGATGAGGTTAGTATCACATCCCAGCCATCTTTGACTCCGCATAAACAGGTACCATCAGCTCAAACCTAAACGTATGGGACAGAGCAACTAATTCATGTAAGAGCTGACTGCAGCAACTCATCTTTAATCTGAAGCTGCAGTTGATGAATACCACAGGTCCCAGCATGCAAGACTATCTTGAGCAAAACTATTCTCAAAATACAAAAAACTCTGCATCTACTCCAGATCAGAGGAAGGAAACACAGCATGTTTTAGGGAATGGATTGGGCAATCTACAACACCAAAGTCTAGAAACTGCACTATAAAAAAGAAAAAGGGAAATTGACAGCAACCTATGCAACCTACCTCTAGTGCACAGCAAAGCCCCTGATGCCATGGCCACCTGCAAAGCCTGAGCCAACCTGTCTAGAGCCAGTTCAATCTCTTTGGAGGCATTAAGTGGATTGAGTTCATCAGACAGTCTGTTTATTTCCTCCACAAGTGGAACCACGTGGTCAAAGGGCACTAGCCCCAGACGGCCATAAAGGTTTTTCTCTGTTAAGTGCACCTGAAGCATCATGAGAACTTGTAAGACACTTAGATGCAGTTTGGAATACAGCTGGTGACAGTCTCTATCATCTCCTGTGGCCGACTCCTTGGCAGCTTTACTGGCGAGGTGACCATTTGAGACAGAAGCCTTCTTTTTCCTCTTGTAAGCTAAGGGGGCCTTCACACACCAGCGGATCAGTCCAGTGAGTGGGGTGAGCTCTAAAAATCCTATTGGTAAGTTGGCTGCAATAGGAGTGTTTAAGAAGGTGATGAGTATCAAGCGGGGGTCCTCAAAGATCCAGGAGACTATCATCTCAAGCAGTTCTGAAGGGGGGATGAGGTCATCTGAAAAAACAAACCAAAAAAACCCAACTGCTCAGCAAATTGAGGGGGGAGAAAAGGGGGTGGGGGCAGCCTGGAGAAAGCAAGTTAGTCCCTTCTCACATGAGCCTGGGCTCAGCCTCTGCAGAAATCCTTATACAGCTGCCTTTGTGAGTGAGTGAGTGAGTGAGTGAGTGAAAGCACAGGCACGAATACAAGAATTGATAGAAAGGGTGGTATCTTTTATTGGACCAACTGTGTAGTTAAGTTTGTCTAACTTCATCTTTCAAATGCAAGCTATTGAGACCTGAGGAAGAATGTCTTGCGTTTGAAAGCTTGTCTAACTTTATCCCACCTACATAGTTAGTCCAATAAAAAGATATCACCGTAAGAAATCCTTGCTTCTTGCATAATTCCTAAATCACCACAGCTACCAAAATCGCTCTTACAGTACCTTTTTTGATACCGTCTTCTAAAATCCCTCTTTCACATTGCTTCAAATCAGACACTCCCTCACCTTTAGGAAGTCACGGCCAAACTGCTGGTCATGCTATCCTCCTTCACTGACTTTATAACCAGCACTGAATCTAATGCAAGATGCTGCCTAAACTGAATCTCTCTCTCAAACATGCTGCTCTCTTATTCCCCAAATTTCTCCAATCTCACCTGTCCACTTATATTACAGTCTTGGTAACCAGAGTATCTTGCCACAGGAGTTCAGAAGGAAGAGCAAGAAAAAAAAAAGAAAAAGAGTGAAGATCTCCCCTTTCACCCACACTATTTTGGAACACCTCCCCTGCTTTTTCACCCTGCTAATCACTCTCTCAATCTTGAGAGGCACATTGCCAGAACAGCTTAATATTACGATAACCACTTTACCTTTCAAATATTTCCAAAATATGCATATGGTTATGATTTCAGAGACACATCAACAGCAGTAAATTGCTGTGACATACATGCCAGCAGCTAGCACTACACCAACAGGAGTGAAGAATGCATCATGGTATGGATCAATGTTTTCTTAAAGCATGTCCCGTTTGTTGCTATTGTCCCACATTACTCTCACTCCAGCCTGCAGGTCATAGTCACTTAAAAAAAAATAAATCAAGGGTTTCATTCCACTGAAAGTACTAGACTGAGTCCTTTAGCTACTGGGCAACTGAAACATAGATAACAGCAGCTTAGGTCTGCCCATTCTGGAAGCTGGCAGCTCTAATAGGAATAGGTACTCGATTTAAGGCTCCTTCAGTCCTTGTCCTTTGTCGAGTTCACTTACCACTGGCAGAGCTACATCCCACTTTCTACCTTAACTCCTCCAGAGCGCAGGCATTGCATCCAGTATATTAAAATCAAGGTGTATCTACCAGTAATTCTAGTGACGAGTGCAAGAATGCCAACAGATAGCCAAGCAAGTGAACATGGCCGCATCAGTAGTGTGCACTACATTGCAGCCTAAATGCAGCTTACCTGAAGAAAGGTCATAGAGGGCTGTGACTGATGTTATAAACTGGCAGCAGAAGCGAGGACTGACACTGAATATTTGTTTCAGTGTTTGAATGGAACCTGGCACCAAATTACAGTAGTCATCAACTAACGCCCGGGCTAGCCTCACGCAGTATACCGCAGGTGTCCGCTGTAAGAGATATACAAGGGGAGGGGGTGAAAAGTCCATAAAACCAATGCACAAGAAATTTTAGTGAGATGCTGAGTATTTCGCTATGGCTCAATTATAGGAACACTTATTGGCCAGTACATTTTTTTGTTCATTCTGTGGGTCTCCGTCTGGCCCTCCATCCAGGAGAGTGGCCTGGAGCTAGAAGAGGAGCCACAAGGAGCCTGACACGCCAGCATTGGGCCCCACTGGGCTCTGGCACTGCTCCCTCCTACCAAGATTTGGCCCAATGGGTCCAGAACTACTACATCAGGATTGGGCCTTGGGGCCCAGCACTGCCCCCTCTTGGCCCTGTGCACTGGGATCAGGGGAGCAGATGACATGGCACTGTGGGCCAGATCTTGCCTGCAGGCCAGGGGTTGAGCACCCCAATCTAGTATATTAAGGTAATTCAATCCAACATTTAACAAGAACCTTCAACTCATAATCTACTCTCTTGCCAGAGATGTGTTAAAAACAGCATTCAAAGATTCTCACTGCCCACATTCCCCTGCAAATTTCCAATTTTGGCATTTATACTTTCCTGTTTTTTTAATAATTCTCTCTTTCCC